AGTACCCTTTAGAATTGTTCAGAAAGATGTGGTATAGTTTCTAACTGGTGCATTAAGCATCTGGCCCAACTTCACAGAATTACAGATAGCTGAATGTGCACTCTCTCTATATTTTATTAACATCCTATAGGCTTATGCTAAGATGTAGTACTGATGTGTCCTGACACGCCTCACTACCTGTGTTGACAGAAAAATCTGGGCTAGACTTCAGAGGGTCTACAAATAGAGTATTTTTTAAAAGATGTTTTGGCAATTTTAACAGAAACTCCAGCTTAAGAAAAAAAAAAAAAAAAGAAGAGAAAAAGAGAAGTTTCAAGTTCATAAATATATAAAATATGCCCAAGTTTCAGCATGCCAAAACCTCTGAAAAGGAGCTTATCCTTAGCATTTTTCTCAACGTAAGGATACCCCATTTTCCTTTGGGTCATGGCCTCTCCTCTATTCTCAGTTGTGTGTTTAAGTAAGGCTGGCCTTATCTACAGCTTCTGCAGTGGGCTTAAGCTCTCCAGCATATCTCCCCATCCCATGTAATAGGTTCAGGGATGAATCTGTGATCAAGTTTAAGAAAATGAAAAACAGTGAACCCCAGGGCTCTGTGCAGGGGTTTTTGGAGGATGCTTCTCTCCCTTGAACATTATGTTATGGGAATGTGATATGTGGAACTGTTATTGCCTAAGAGGAAATCCAGAGCTGCCAAAGGTCCACTGTATATATCCTGAGGAGGCTGCTGACACTGAGAAAGGCAGGACAGAGAGGCAGAGAGAAACTGCATTCTTATTGACATATTTTAAGCCACTGTGTAAGGCTTTACCTGAAGTCATACTATACGTTTTAACTTTCCAGTTACATGCACTATAGATTCTAATGACTGATTCTGCAGATAAGGCTTAGATCTTCAATAACCTGCAAGCAAAAGAATCTCAGTTAACAGTCCAAGACGCTTAATTTATCAAAGTATGAACTGTTTTTTCTCTACACAATTTTGAAGATTTTATTCTCATGAAGAATGCTGAAGGAAAGGAAAATCATGAAGAACGTTTCTTAGACTTAATAGAACCTTACTATCTTCTAAGATTAAATCTCAGAACTTCATAGCTGGAGGTGGTTTGAGGATTATATTGTCCTATTAGTTTCTTTTGAACAGGGAGTCAATAAATATGTATATAATGAATGAATGAATGAATGTGTGAAGAATGAATGAATGAATGAATGTGTAAATGAGGTAGCTTAACTCTAGACAGATCTGAATTATATTGTTCAATGAAATGATTGTGTATTTTAGTCAGTTTCAGCTGGTAGTTGGTTACTAAAAGCCAGATTTGAGGCTTCTGTGTGTATGTTGTTTTTTCATTTTTTTGTCTGGATATACAAATAAATAGCAGAACCTGGGAAATGCAATTCCAAATACAATCTCCTCTCATGTCTACTAGGTAACATCTCACATCTTCTCCTAAAAACAAAGAACCCCACAAAAGCCTTTGAGATGACAAGTTTAAATAGTCTTAGAGTTTAAAAACTGGGATATGTTACTGACGTCCATTTCCAAACCAGTTGCTTTCAATCTGAAATGCATTTTCTTGTGTACAATGTTAGAGTCACAGGCTAGCCAACAAAACAGAACAAGATGGAAAACTACAGAAAACACCCTTTCAACTGAAAACATCTACTAGAACTCAACTATGTGTTAAGTTCTGGGAACATGAGGTCATGAGATGCATAAGCACAAGAGGGAAAACAAAATCAATAAAATGCTCTGCTATTCCTCTCTTATTCACCTCCATTTACTGGCTATAAAATTACTTCAAAGGAAAATTTTAAAAAATCTGTTATTGGCCCTGTCCTACTTTCCTTTGAGCATTCCTCTTCCATTCTTAGCGTCCTTTTTGTTCCAAGTGCTTGGATGTCCTGCATCTTAAATACTGACAGCTAACATTTTATTGAGCAATTACTATTGGTCAGGCACTGCACTAATAAACGCAGAGACTAAGTAATTTGCCTACAGTCATGTGGCAAAGCCCACATGGAACCCAGTTTGCTAGTCTCTGAAGCCCAGGTTCTTAAACTACCCAGGTCTACTACACTGGTTGTCCTCCACCCTAAGCTGAGTCCTTCCTGCCGTGATTCCAGCTCCTCCCTTCCTGTCACAGCCTAAAAGGCTTCGTGCCAAAGCTTGCCAGCATCCCTTCCCCTTCAACCAAAAGAGTCATCTCCTCATTGTAGCCAATGTGCCTTAGAAAACAAAAGAGGAGAGCAATCTGAAGTAACTCATGATAACCTCATGTTTCCAGAGGTTGTACATACTATTTCAAAGGGGGCACACAGCAGCATTTCAGGTAGCTGACAAGAGCAGGAAGTGAAAAAACATGTAGCAGCAAAAGAGTATATATTTTTGGACAGAATAAGAAGCCAGAGATTCTACTAAGAGTTTGCCTCCAAAGTCAGTATCCCTAGTATAGAATATATTTTCACAGTTTCTTTCCTTATCCTACATTTTAATCCACAATTTAAAAGGGGGAAAGAAAGCAACATTAAATAATTGGCATTCAATAAATTCTTGCTGCCTTTATTTGTCCTGTAAGGAAACCAGAGCCCAGGGCAATAAATATGAAGTCATATAACAAATAGCAGCCCAGGGAAGGGAAATCTCCGAACTCCTAACTCCCAGGCCAGAACAATTTATTTTTGATACCTATAACCCAAATCGCCAATTGATCCTTCTTTTCTGTTTAAGGCCTGCCTGAGTGAAGACAAAACTGATTAAATATGGATATAAACCGACAGGAATTTGACCAGGCAAAAATTTCCTTTTTAAATAGAACCAACTCTCACCTGAAAATGGCTTCTAGAAAGAATTATTTCATAAAATAATTTAATCCATGTGTTTGTTTCATAGTAACAGAAAAGAATTCACCCTTTTAAAAGAGATTATCTGTTATTCCCACCTCCCTTTCCTTCCAAAATTCAGCATCTGAATATCAGTATAATTGTTCTACACAGCAGTTTAAAGAAATTGGCTTTTCAATAGACATTAGAATCCTAGAATCCGGAACTCCTAGATTTAATGGGTCTGTCCTCTGAGGCCCGTAAGACTGCAGAGAACAACAGGGTCAATACATTTCTTATCAAGGGTTCACCTACTTTGATATCACCCATTCTTGGAAGAGACCTCAGAAGGTCAAACTGCTATCAAACAAACATATGAATAGATAAACTAAAGGAAGCTAATGAAGAGACCACAATCAAACACTTCTGGGAAAGACTATTAGCTGGCCTTCTTCAGAAACAAACATGCAGGGAAAATTTGAGAAAGAACAAAGGAGAAAATCATGAACCTCTAAGAATAAAGCAAATGAAGATATTAGTTTAAGGAAATTGTCCTCCAGGTAAATATAAAAGCTAAATTCTTACCAGCAACATGAACAAGTAAAATACACTTATTTGGTGGAAAACTTATGGGCACAGAGCAATTGTTGACTGAATAGCAGAAACCAGTCTACAAAAATAATAATTAAAAATAAAAGTATAATTCTGTTTACCAGGCATAGAAATTTATAATCTTCACATCTTAACAATTGTCCAGTGTTTATTCATGTACCTAAGGTAAAATAAAATAATTTCAATCCAGGCAAACCACCCTGAAAGATTTTTCTTAAGATGTTTATAGGCCGGGTGCGGTGGCTCACGCCTGTAATCCCAGCACTTTGGGAGGCCAAGGCGGGTAAATCACGAGGTCAAGAGATTGAGACCATCCTGGTCAACATGGTGAAACCCAGTCTCTACTGAAAATACAAAAATTAGCTGGGCATGGTGGCGCATGCCTGTAGTCCCAGCTACTCAGGAGGCTGAGGCAGGAGAATTGCCTGAACCCAGGAGGCAGAGGTTGCAGTGAGCTGAGATTGCGCCATTGTACTCCAGCCTGGGTAACAAGAGCGAAACTCCGTCTCAAAAAAAAAAAAAAAGATGTTTATATCTAAACCCATCCTCAGATCAGCAAAACATTTAGAAAGGAAAACATTCTTTTCAATTAAAAAAATATATTTTATTGGGGGAATCCTTAAATATAAATAATCCATTTTAAAGAATATAAACAAGTACAAGTACATAAAACTTACTTACATTTTCTAAAACAGAGAGAATAGTAACTTCTTTATCTCCAAAAGAACAGACCATTTACTACCACTAAAAAAAAATCTTTTGGCATTCTTATTGCCCTTCCCCTAAATGAATCTATCTATCTATCTATCTCTATATATACATTTTTTTTTTTAGACAGAGTTTCACTCTTATTGCCCAGGCTGGAGTGCAATGGCACGATCTCGCTCACCATAACCTCCGCCTCACGGGTTCAAGCAATTCTCCTGCCTCAGCCTCCCAAGTAGCTGGGATTACAAGGCATGCGCCTGCACGTCAGCTAATTTTGTATTTTTAGTAGAGATGGTATTTCTCCATGTTGGTCAGGCTGGTCTCGAACTCCTGACCTAAGGTGATCTACCTGCCTCGGCCTCCCAAAGTGCTGGGATTACAGGAGTGAGCCACCGTGCCCGGCCCTGATGTATATGTTTGAACCTGCTTTTTATTCATTTGTTGAAAAAATATTCACAGTTGAGATTACTGGCCTATATCTTCTGCAATTATAACATTATTGTAGCTAGTGAATAATAAAACTAATTTAATTTTGGTTAACTTCTTTTCAATACAGATGGCTTAAAAAGAAAAGGAAACCTGTATTTTTCTATTGTGATCTTAAAAATATATTTCTAACATGTTTTTAAAAAAATGGATAAGTATGCTACCACTACCTTGTAGTAAACTTTAGAAAATGTTGAGATTCCAAAGGGCTGCCTACAAACCAAATGGCATCCTAGCTTTGGCAGGCTGATGCCTCATTTTGGCTGCTCTCGCCCCCTCTAGCGTTTGCAAAGCTCATCTGTCTGATTATCCAGTTACCTCACTGAACAAGAGCTTGGCTAAGTCCTGCCCATCTATGACATCACCCCCTTCTTCAACCACTGCGAGGTGAAGCTTTAAACTTCAGACTTGGAGGTGGGCTGTGTGCAGTAAACTGGAAGGCTCTCCTTCGCTCACTCCTCAGTGTAGGAGTGATCTGAAGCAGGACAAGCTCAGCCTGCAGCTGCCGTGGGCTTTGTGTGGACTGGACGCAGAGCTTAGGAGACGGGGGAGGGCTATAACTCCAATTCACAGTCAATGGAATTACAGCTATAGCGGCAGTGTATATAGGATTGCTTTTTCTCGTCTTCCTGGTAAGTGTTTTCCATGTTTTTTCTTATGATTGTCCCAGAAAGTTTGCTTGGTTTTCCTCTCTAGAGAGAAACGGCTCGATACTATGAGAAATCCGAATAGGAACGTTTGCTCTGTCACCAGAACGAGCAATATATGTGCGTGCAAGCCAGAAAAGAAAAATTTCACTATATGGCCAAACGCAAGAAGTTTCTTAGAACCTTCTTTCATTTATAAAAGATAAATAAGTAGCTATTTTCTGTCTTTAGTAATTGCTATTTAAAAAGAGCCTTATGGAAAGCAGCAAGTTGGAAAGTTCAATATTAAATATTAAAGAATACAAGGAGATTCTTCACAGATAGAAAAGCAAAAGGTCTTGCTGACTTGGTGTGTACTGTATGTGTGGTATGATCACCAATTGCTGTTTTTACAACTGTGAAAGAAAATCAATAATCCCTCAACCCTTGAGTACGCAGTACATGAAAAGCATACATCTTGCTCACAGCTAGCCGAGCTACTCCTGGAGACTTATGTGCCTCTGTAAAGGATTAACAGCTACACCTAGATTTTAAAGCTTGCACTGCTATTGTGCCTGAGCTGCTTCAAGCATTTCAGGCTTGCAAATCTCAACTAGTAAATTGAACTCGGAGGAGGGGGAGACTCACTTCCAAACCATATTCCCTCTTCAGTAGAACGCCAAAACCCATTGCTTGGGCAAGTGCAGGATGTGACTAGCATAGTAAATGGCTAAGTCTGCTCAGAAAAACTAACAAAGCTCACCCTGGAAGCTATGTCTGATGTATGCAGTGAGTTTGGGGTGGCAGGAAAGAAAAATAAATGAGTAGAGCCCTCATCAAGTGGGTTTTGTAGAGCATCCATTCTTTGCAACTTATAAAAGGAAAATCTTATATTGGAAGAAATGCATTTATACTACAAAACTTGAAAAAAGTAGTTAAATATATCTTCTCAAAAAATTTTTTCACTGAATTAGGTCTGAAACAAAATGGTTGCATATAGGTAAAGAGTGCAACAGGCCCATGTCTGCTCAACATCTGGGGGTTTGTTTTTATTATTTTATTTACAATTCAAAAGAAAAGAACATTTTTTTAAATTGCTGGTCCAAATTCTCTAATGCTTTTAATAATAAGGCTATTTTAAATTTTCTTAATAAATCTGTCTTCTTTAAAATGCCCATCTATATTATTTTATTATCCAGAAACAACACAAATTAAGCCACTAGAAAAGTCCTTCAGCTGTAGCAGTGCCTTTCATTTATCTCTAACTGAATAAAAATATCCTGACCAGCATAAACATAAAGAATAAATTTGCCTATATTCAGGGAGAATCACTTATACCTGACCCATAATGACAGATGACTAATACTCATCTCTCTTGAAATGAGTAAAGAAAAATTAATCCTTTAAAAGTACCACAATAATATCAATATTACCAACTACTACAAATATTAATGATAATGTGTCAGGTTTTAATCATGAGAAAATTAAATCAGAGATATGCCACTTCGTTTGGACACATAGATCCACACAAACGTACATGTATTTATTACCCTGAAATAAAAACAGGGCTACAAAAACTCATGGATTTAACTAAGAAGACTAAAATTTGATTTTTTGAAGAGCATAGCCAAACCACATCAAGTTCAAGGATCAGCAAAATATTAGTGAATGAATAAACATAATGAATTCATTAATATAGTGATTCTGTATAACTGTCTACCAGTTATTAATTGGGTTTTTCCTTTTGCTGCACCCCACCATTTAAAATCAATTATGACTAGGTTCAAAATGCACAATTAAACACTTCCCAAACATAATGTTTGTGAAATATATAATTGGATACCAAATAAAGTTTTTACAAAAAACAGGAAAACTGTAAGAAAATTTGTCATAACTCAATGTGGCAGCAAAATAGAAGGTATGTTTCTTTTGCTTTCGAGTGTTAATTATGGAGCCTACGATTCTATCAAAACTTTTTCAGAGCTAAATGAAGCAGTGTGAAATAAATTTGGTTGAAATCTTGTGGCTGTCAGACTTTGTTAGCAAGCTATTAATTATCTTTACCCCAGTTTCTTCTCTAGACTATATTGCCCAATCAAATAGAAACTCCAATTACGCTCAGCATCTCCTGCCTAGGGACACAAGACCCTAATGAACACTCAGTCTCTCCAGATGAAAAATACAATAATCAGCTTTAAACATGCAAGTGCACTGCAGAGAGATTTTTCTATGCTTTTCTTGGCCATACATCCTAAGGCTTCCTCTTCTTTCTGAATTATTTTGAACAATTTTAAGCCCTACAAAAATCAGTGCAGGGAATTTGCCTTGTCTTAATATATTAATGTTTCTTCTTCTTGCTTTTCATCTTTGATATGCCAATGTTCATACCAATATTAAATTAAATCTGGTCACTGAAAAACATATTTGGTTTGCAGTTGCCCTTTCAGTCATTTCTTAACTTTTATGCCTCTTTTTAATGTGGGTGGGCTATTTAACAAAGAATGTGATTGATTAACGGTGAAATCCAGAGCTAACTTAAAAATTCTGAATAGATCCCCTTATATATTCTTATTCAAACCCATTTTTTTTCTAAAAAAAGCATTAGAAATAACTGTTTAAAATCAAATGAAGACCACCATAAATAACGTCAACAAGGGAAATAAGATTCAGTAAATTTTTCAAAGGCCATAATTTCTCCCCTCAGTCTCTCCTTCCCCCTTCCCTCCCACCCCCCACCTTTTGCCCCAGAGGCCTTCACTGTTCTTCTCAACGGGAGGCTTTGTTGTAATTAAACCAGAGAAAAACTGGCCAGCAGCAGCCAACATCTGACTTGCGGCTTCTGAAAGCAGTGTTCTGGTAGAGTGTACCACCCCCCAGCGGGCAAAAACTCTACAGTAAATCTCTCAGCAATATTAATCCTCAAAACTGCATTTTCTCTTAAGAGCATAAGAAGGATGTTTCTCAGCTTCTTGTAACATTCCACCATTTCAAAAATTTACCGCAAGTCAACAAATACATTTCCAACAAAGAGACGGTCTTCTGAAATAGCATTCTTCCTCTTAAGAAAATAGGTATATACATTTCAGAAAGTATTTTCCGGTTCAAAATACAGATCGACATCACTACACCACACTTGAAGACAATTTTCAAAGCTATGTTTATGTTGTGTAAGAAAGAACTTTGAGTTATCTATTTATGAAAACCCCAGAGAAAACAGATTTTAAGTAGAAAGCAATAGAATATAATTTGAGCAAAAGTTAAAGTTTCAATTGTTTTGCATATGCATAATCTCTTTCCTACCCTAAAATCAAGTGTCAGGAATGAATAAAAAGCTTTCTCCAGGTATTATTCTGTTTAAATGAAAGGAGGGAGAAATTGCTCTTACTTGATGAGACAATGACAGCTTTTGTTCTTTATTCTTTCACTTTACATGTGCACAAGTTACCGTGGCAACTTTGAAGAGAAAACCCACAGACCACATTTGGTTAAACACCATTTTTAAAGTGTGCCACTGGACTGTGGATTGATCAGTTTACGTGTTGTTGATTTTCTTCCTCTTCATCTGGTTTAAGTAATACCCTACTTGGCCGTGAAAAAAACAATGTATTTTATGATTTCAGATGGTCTCACCGGTGAGTACAGTGCTTGCCACACAGCAAAGTAAATCTATTTGCTGAACTACTGTATAGAAACTTAAATGTTAGAAATTTAAAGCACATCAACCAAGTTGTACTCACAAGGTTAAAAAGGAATTTAAAGTCTGCAATGGTAAAATGTGGTTTGACAAAAGTAGGCATACTTTTAATTACGTTTGCTCAAACGTCAGCACAAATTTAAAGCATGCCCCCACCCCAAACTCTATACTACTTACCTTCACCATTCTCTAAATTAATATCTTACTCATTCTTACAAGTCTTGTTTTCTAATTCATTTACTTTGGGCTTAATATCATAAAAGGAAGCAGCATTCACTATGATGAAAGATAATATCCCAGTTTGCCTTTTTGTTTTAGGGAAGCCTGATTTAACTTTACAAGCCAAAATAAATGAAGGAGAATTCGATTCATTTGTCACAAACCTATAGGGGAAAAGAACCAGTAACAGAAAAAGAAAAAGTAAAAATACTTAGCATTGGAAATTATATCCTCTATTTTCCATAAATGAAACAAGGACCTTGTTCAGGCTAGAAAATAGTCTGGATAGAACCAAGTATGAAAAGGCACACTTGCCTCTCTGCCTCTCAGCAAACCCTTCAGACTTCATGACTCTCAAGAGGAGAGTTAGAGGTCCTTCCGCTTGCCTGGCATTAAACAAAAGAATTGGAACTTTCCTGAAATCTGATGATCATGGAAAATTTAACTACCAGACAGGCTGCTTAGAAAGCATTTTGCTGTCACTATCAACTAACCTGATGTACTCCAGTTTTTCAGTTTAACCATATAGGTAGTTTATTTGAAATACTATTTGCTGATGCAAAGACTTAGCATTCACAGGTTGTTCATTTTGTTGAGCTTTTCTAGCAGCAGTTTAACCCTGCATAAATAAATTAACTTCTTAATACTCTAAATCATGATTGTGCAAATTCCAGTTTACCTAGAAATATTCACAAAGTTGGATGCATTTGTTTAAGCATGTGTTTACTTCAGTCTCAAGGTTTTACTTAAAATAATGCAACTAACTTGGATTAAAAGTTCTACATGCCATTATATTTTAGATTTAATATTTTTAAAAGTTGCCAGCATTAAGAAATCATTCTATGAGACAAATCATTAAAACTAAACTAAAATATCAAAATCTTGTACTCAATATTTTTCAAAAATGAGTCATGATCAAACAGGTCAAATCAAAATCAATTTAAATGTAAGGCATCAAATGAGAAGCACTGGTATTACATAGCTTCATCTTGATCTAAATAATATTCTCAAAACATGAGAAATACCTTCTCATAACATTCCCATCTCCAAAATATTGTAGTAGCAGGGAAGGAATCACATAAACATGGAGATTGCTGCAAGTTCTTGATTTTATTTAAATACCAGTTTTCTATTCAGATACAACTTCTTATATTAGTTTTCCTAAAATAGTATCCTTATCTATTTACATGTTTTATTTGGTGCATCATGGAAATAAATTGGAAGCTTTTTAGACTTGATGTGATTACATTATAAATGCAAAAAATAATCTGTAATTTTTATTTGTAAAAAGAAACTGAATATGAATAGAAGGATCCCTATCAAAAATTTGATTCATCAGTGAGGTGATTATGTTTTTCTTCTTTTTGCTACAGTTTTAAGTGTTTTATAGTTAAGTAATGATTCCACTAAAAAATTTTTTTAAACATTCCATAATGTTACCAGGGCTCCATTTATGTTTTCCCCCCAAGTTACCCCATTAACAGTATTTTTCTAAAAGATCGATTCATTGTTGTTCAGAAGTAATGGCCTCTTTCAAGCCAAGGCAGACAGAAAGGCTCTGAAGTAAATCACTGTTGTGGAAACCTGGCCACAGTGTCCATGCCCGTGGGGGTCATTTTTCATTTCATCATGGACATTCAACTACAGCATTTCTAGGTGCGTGAATATGTAGATCCAGCTCAAAAAGGGGAGGCCTAAGCATGGAACAGGATCGTTCATTTTTAATGAAGAGATCATTGCAGACTTTAATACGTCAAAACCAAAACCCAAAATCTGTTTAGCACTACAGTTTCAAATATAAATGGGCAAGAGAAGATACAAAACGTAGTCAAACATAAACTGTTTTGAGCTTAAGTAAAGGGAGTAGGGGCATTTGAGAGTAGCTCTGAATGTAATCTTCATTTCTCAAAGAGTATCCTTCTCTCCTAAGAAACCTGTTTTATGTTTTTGCCTTTTATTTTAATACAATGTGGGGAGAAGAGAATGACATTTTCCAAGAAGTTAACGAGATTTAAGGCTTTCTGTTAATCCCACATTATTACCACTATTGTATGAATGGCAAATGTGAGTTTGCATATCAAACAGACTAGGGGAAGCAGCTTCACAAATGTAAAACAGGTAAAATAAACAAATTAATCTTCCTTCTTTTCACACCAATTTAGAACTCTTTCATTCTCTGGGTTAAAAATGTGAAAATCAATACATATTGTTAGAGCCTGATTTGGTGAAATATATATCATTTAGATGCAAGATAAAAGGCAGTTATTTTATGTCTGGTTATCATTATGATCATCACCTTGGACATACTGTAGTCTGACCTGACTCAGGGAACAATCAATTTTTAAGTCCCCAATCAGCAGATTCATCATCTCAAGTATATATTGCCTCACTATCATCCCTGTAATATTATAAATACTTGACTCTTGGTAACATTTTAAGCAGGTTCTCACTTGTTATTTTTATAATGGTTTTTAATTACTTTCTAATGCAATTTAACATAAGTAATTGTTTTCTAAATTTAAATTAACCACATTATTTTATATGTTGAATAATTTTCAAGTTTAAAAAAATTTTGCAGAAGGTACTTTAAACTAACTTTGTAATTATAATTTCAACAGCTTGGTTTTCCATTTTCACACACTGAGAAAGCAACATTTTTCAAGAAAAGATACTATTGAAATTTGACAATAATGAGCAAAGCCCTAAAGGTGTCAGAGTAAAACCTCACATTAAACAATAAATCATTTAAACTTTTCTCTCTGGGCACTTTGCAATATTCACTAGAGACTGTTTGATCCATCTGCTAACTGCTATTTTTGTTTTAAGTTACCTAAATAATAAATTATCTGTGTCTGTAATTTTCTTTAACTTTTCTTCTGTAATATAGCCTATGACCATGTTGGTATGTAGTTAGCGAACTAAAATAAACTGAATTTTCAAAGAGAACCAGAAACACAAATTGTGGCCTTATTTAACATACACACTCAGTAGAGTATTTGAATTATGGAACAGATGCTATCCTTGTTGGATGCTAGGTAACAACTGGGGGAGAAGCAAATTGCTACTACCAGGATACTCCAATGTTCCCTACATGTATACAATGTAGCAGAGTTGATGACCCCTATAACCAATTCCAATAGTACTCAACCTCCTCCACACTCCTTAAAAATCTTTCTGCATATTTGATAATGGGCAAAGCAGTCAACATTAAATTCAATGATCTCTTTAGTCAAGCCCAAAGTCTTCTTTTGGAAATGAAAAATACCCTTATTGAAAACTGGCATATTCATGCATGAACCTAGAGAGAAATGCCTCATCAGGTCTTGAGGTGCTTTCCTAATGGTATGACCCTTACAAGGAGATGGAAATAATAGTGTCCTTCCTATTTCAAATACAGATTTTTTTCAAGCTCAGTATGCTGAAAGAAAACTAGAACAGTATTCTCCAGAAAAACGAAATATGACTTGAACTTCTATGTCACTGTTTGGGCAAGGACACCTGAGTGCTTAGAGTTTCAAGATCACTCAGTTGTCCTTAGATACACCCCTAAAGAGAAAGGAGGTGGTGTCAACATTCTGCAGTCGGGAAAACTGAGACTAGCAGGAAAAACCAAACAGGGCACTGAGGAAATCAAAAGAAAAGCTTTTAAAATAGTCTTTTTGACTCTAAACTGTGGATTGTGTGACTTTGTAAAACCATGTCCAGAAATGCCTTAAAAGTTACCTTGGCATTTCTGTCAAAAATCTCTGTTATGTATTTGCTCACCTCCTTGACATGTACTTTTTTTCTTCTTTATAAACATTCTATCATTTTATGCATATGATTTAAAAGTAAATTTTTAAAGACTGGCTTGGATTTGAAAGCTATGGTGTTTAATTCAGTGATATAATCAGATAATAGAAGTTATTAGTTTGATGACAGTCTCAACTTTGGCTCCTAGTTTGTTTATAAAAGAAAATGAGAAGTCTAAAAACAAAGAGGTCAACCTATCCCTTTTGACCAACTACTATGATGAAAGATGTGTTGCTTTAAGAAATTGAAATCAAATGTCTAGGAAATTTCTCTAGTATGTTAAAGTTCATTATTAATAGTTCATTAAAACCTTTTACTTTCGCAGGAGATGCTCAGTCCCAGTATATTTTAAGGAAGAGAAATATAAAGAAAATTTAGTATGCATCCTTTTCTTTCCATGAAGAATATTTGAATTAAGTATCCTTTACTTCTTAAAAGAGAATATCTGTTCTTGTATAACGTGACTGCACCAGACATTCTGAAAAATCAGCAAGAAGCAAAACCTGGAAATAGCTATTTCACAGCAGGTAATCATACCTCAGGATGTAGCTACTGTACAAAGTTTATACTTGGATAATCCTGGATGGGAATAAAGGTAGGGGGTAACTGCCTGAAAAACCTATTACTATACAGGCCTTAGCATCATGAATGGCTTTCTTCATGAGGATCTGAAGTTACTATCTCTGACCACATTGCACAGAAGAGCCAATAAGAATTTCAAAGAGGGCAATTTCCACTAAGGGAATTAAGCTACACAAAAGGAACCTTCACACAGAAACTATCAGAAAGAAAAAAAAATACATAGGAAGCCATGTGTCCTACATAGTAACAGGAAGCAAAATTGTTTCTGGCCCCCACTTTAATAAGCTTGCCCACCATGCTGAACTGCAGCTGGAATGTTCATTGACAACAGCGAGCCTGATCTGGAGGTGTGTGCGGCATAGGATTACTTGAATAAACGGTGAAGAACATTTCCAAGGACAAAACAAAAGTTTGTTAAGTCCCAGCCCCTCACCAGGAAAATAATATATGTGCATTGGATATTCACCCCCGCAAAATTTACTCACATCGTTCAATAAGGTAGGAAAAACAAAGTATTTTATTTTCATGCCTAAAATTATCAAGGCTAATTAATACTTAAAAGGACAGAAGAGATTATATTACACAACACGTCAGCATAAATCTATACATTGCCAGCCACAGAAAAAGTTGATTTATGTTCTAGGTTAGAATTTAAAGAAAAATAAATGCACTGTGAAAATGTGTTACAAGATAGAAAATAATGAAAAATGTGGACAAAGTCATTAAAACTTGCAGCATGAAATATATAACAAAATGTGAACAGAAGAAAGACAGAGTTTAACATGAAGTGAAATTTTCCACTTAGGTTAGTTAGCTGGATGTCAGCTATATAATTCTTTCCCAAAAACAAATGAAGGATTCATTCTTATTTTCTTGTAGAAATCCATCCATTTAAAATAATGCTTAAAATTAATAATCAAATGAAATGGCATTAATAATCAAAGCAAACTATGGGTTTAATTGAGATTGAGGATCTCAAGATGTATGTAACTGTTCCTGAGTATGAAGAGAATATTTTATGACATTTTTCTACAGTATAGTCTTTGCCTAATAAAAAGTAAATATAAAATTTGTGGTTTTTTGAGAGCAGTAAAATGATTACCTTTAAATATAACAAATAATATTCCAAGGTGTTATTAAGAAAGAAATAGATATCAATTAGCTTGATCAGTAACTATCTATAAGGTTTATATAAAGTATAATAAAAATACTTCAGATTATTCAATAAAACTTCAATTATATTTAACATTCCAAAATCAAATGAATTTAGGACATGATACTTTTTAATTTATAAAGAAATTAAGAAACATTAAGGTAAAGAGATTGTATGACAGTGTTTACTGTTAGCTAGCAATAAACCCTACTATGCCCCCTTCCAAAACAAATTAAAATATTAAAAGTGATTATAGATATTTGAGGTTTCACATTCATTTTAAACATTATATTCAGTATGCTGGCCTTATTGTTTTCTGTCTTTTTTTACTCACTTCATTTTAGGGTTCTGAGGTAACAGAAGCTACGCTGTGTAACAACCTCAACACTGCTGACCATGATCAGCCCAGCCTGGAGCATCTTCCTCATCTGGACTAAAATTGGGCTGTTCCTTCAAGTAGCACCTCTATCAGTTATGGCTAAATCCTGTCCATCTGTGTGTCGCTGCGATGCGGGTTTCATTTACTGTAATGATCGCTTTCTGACATCCATTCCAACAGGAATACCAGAGGATGCTACAACTCTCTACCTTCAGAACAACCAAATAAATAATGCTGGGATTCCTTCAGATTTGAAAAACTTGCTGAAAGTAGAAAGAATATACCTATACCACAACAGTTTAGATGAATTTCCTACCAACCTCCCAAAGTATGTAAAAGAGTTACATTTGCAAGAAAATAACATAAGGACTATCACTTACGATTCACTTTCAAAAATTCCCTATCTGGAAGAATTACATTTAGATGACAACTCTGTCTCTGCGGTTAGTATAGAAGAGGGAGCATTCCGAGACAGCAACTATCTCCGACTGCTTTTCCTGTCTCGTAACCACCTTAGCACAATTCCCTGGGGTTTGCCCAGAACTATAGAAGAACTACGCTTGGATGATAATCGCATATCCACTATTTCATCACCATCTCTTCAAGGTCTCACTAGTCTAAAACGCCTGGTTTTAGATGGAAACCTGTTGAACAATCATGGTTTAGGTGACAAGGTTTTCTTCAATCTAGTTAACTTAACAGAGTTGTCCCTGGTACGGAATTCTCTGACTGCTGCACCAGTAAACCTTCCAGGCACAAACCTGAGGAAGCTTTATCTTCAAGATAACCACATCAATCGGGTGCCCCCAAATGCTTTTTCTTATCTAAGGCAGCTGTATCGACTGGATATGTCCAATAATAACCTAAGTAATTTACCTCAGGGTATCTTTGATGATTTGGACAATATAACCCAACTGATTCTTCGCAACAATCCCTGGTATTGTGGGTGCAAGATGAAATGGGTACGTGACTGGTTACAGTCACTACCTGTGAAGGTCAATGTGCGTGGGCTCATGTGCCAAGCCCCAGAAAAAGTTCGTGGGATGGCTATTAAGGATCTCAATGCAGAACTGTTTGATTGTAAGGACAGTGGGATTGTCAGCACCATTCAGATAACCACTGCAATACCCAACACAGTGTATCCTGCCCAAGGACAGTGGCCAGCTCCAGTGACCAAACAACCAGATATTAAGAACCCCAGGCTCACTAAGGATCAGCAAACCACAGGGAGTCCCTCAAGAAAAACAATTACAATTACTGTGAAGTCTGTCACCTCTGACACAATTCATATCTCTTGGAAACTTGCTCTACCTATGACTGCTTTGAGGCTCAGCTGGCTTAAACTGGGCCATAGCCCAGCATTTGGATCTATAACAGAAACAATTGTAACAGGGGAACGCAGTGAGTACTTGGTCACAGCCCTGGAGCCTGATTCACCCTATAAAGTATGCATGGTTCCCATGGAAACCAGTAACCTCTACCTATTTGATGAAACTCCTGTTTGTATTGAGACTGAAACTGCACCCCTTCGAATGTACAACCCTACAACCACCCTCAATCGTGAGCAAGAGAAAGAACCTTACAAAAACCCCAATTTACCTTTGGCTGCCATTATTGGTGGGGCTGTGGCCCTGGTTACCATTGCCCTTCTTGCTTTAGTGTGTTGGTATGTGCATAGGAATGGATCGCTCTTCTCAAGGAACTGTGCATACAGCAAAGGGAGGAGAAGAAAGGATGACTATGCAGAAGCTGGCACTAAGAAGGACAACTCTATCCTGGAAATCAGGGAGACTTCTTTTCAGATGCTACCAATAAGCAATGAACCCATCTCGAAGGAGGAGTTTGTAATACACACCATATTTCCTCCTAATGGAATGAATCTGTACAAAAACAATCACAGTGAAAGCAGTAGTAACCGAAGCTACAGAGACAGTGGCATTCCAGACTCAGATCACTCGCACTCATGATGCTGAAGGACTTGCAGCAGACTTGTGTTTCGGGTTTTTTAAACCTAAGGGAGGTGATAGTAGGAACCCTGTTCTACTGCAAAACACTGGAAAAAGAGACTGAAAAAAAGCAATGTACTGTACATTTGCCATATAATTTATATTTAAGAACTTTTTATTAAAAGTTTCAAATTTCAGGTTACTGCTGCGATTGATGTAGTGGAGATGCCTGAACACAATTCTATATTTTAGTATTTTTTAGTAATTTGTACTGTATTTTCCTTGCAAATATTGGAGTTATAAACCATTTACTTTGTGTTCTACTGAGTAAGATGACTTGTTGACTGTGAAAGTGAATTTTCTTGCTGTGTTGAACAATCAGGACTGCATCCACATGAGATCCTTGTAGTATAAGCACAGGCCATTTTTCACTTTGGTATTAATAAAATGTAAAAAAAAACTGGCTGAATGGCTGAATAAGAAAAAATTTAATTTTAAAAAATGGTTATGAAATAATGTTCCAATTATTAAATTTGTATTATCCCAGTGGTATTCAATAAATCAAAATGTGTGAAGTAATGGGCAATATGAAACTTGCTGCATATCTCCATTTTTTCTCTAGGCAAATTAATTATCCTTAAGAAAGTTAAGCATATCTTCTGAACTGAATACATCAGCTGGCATAAAAGGAGTGTGAAGTCTGTTGTTAAAGCCATTGTCAGCAAAGCTTTGAAAATAAAAGACTTCACAAAAACAGTAATGTAAATGTGCTTCCAAGTTAGGGGGGAAATGTGCACTTAGGAAAACATGAAAACAGGCTGTCTAGTGTAATGGACGCAATACCAAAACTGCATTTTGGTTTTGCCTATACCAGCCTGATTTTTGAAAAGTGAATGATAAACACAAAATTGCTAGTGTTTATGATGTTTTTATGATAAAGGATGTCATAGAAATTTTATGCATATTAAAAATGTAGTGTAATTATAAGCAATTCCCCTCAACGATCCAGAGAAAGTAGTACTTTAAATAAGGATTTAAAGAAAAATAAATAGTAGAAGTCAAATTTAGATCTGGTTTATGTCAAATGTTTTAACACTGTACATAAATGTTCAATTTACTTTCATAAAGATCAAGAATACTGCCCATTACTGTCACAGTTTTCCAGATACTACAGAATGAACTTGTAATGTAACATTTCCTTCTAGCTTCCTACTGAATTGTGAGCTATTACTTGTTGAAAAACCATGTCACTTTTCTGTTGCCATGATTTTTTTTTTTTTTCAACAAAAAAACCAAAGTGCATTGTACGCCCTTTGGCCAGTCTTGTATGTGCCTTGATCCAACGCTACATGTATTCAGCTTTTAAAACTCGACAAATTTTTCATACTCCTTAAATATGAAAAATTATGGTCTTATTGCTGAATAAAACTTTTAAAAAGTACAGAATAATTGTGCTTGCTTTTTCAGGATTGTGTTACTATCCCTAAGTAGCAAACTGCCCAGCACATTAGTCCTAAACGTCCCATGTATTTTTCTAGGCATAAAAATAAAAGTTGGCTAAAAATTTTAAAAAATCAACATCTTGAGGTTGTGTATCATTTTACTTCAAAGAGTTCAGTGTTTCACATATAAATTCATTTCCTCTTCCTTATTTACTGTATAGATGGAAGCTTAACCGGTTTCACGGCCTCTCCCTCTTAGGGGCACTGCTGCCACTGTCCTGATACTTTTTAAGGTGGTCTTAGAAAAACTTTTTTTAAATAACCTTTTAGTAGAGTGAGTTGGCATTTGTGAAACTGTGAAATATACACTTTCTCTTTGTCCCTGTTTCTGGCATACAACTCCTAAAATCCTTGCAATTTTCAAAGTGATGTATTTTCATATGCTAGTGAGTTCACTGATGGCTGGTAGGCCCTAGGTAGCTTCAAGATAAAGTCTGGTCACTGAAAAGACCAAGACATGATTATAAGGTTGGGACATTCAACACCAAAGGGGGTAGGGGATAAACATTAAGGTGATCACCAGTGACCAATGGTTTAATCAATCATGCCTATGTAATCAAGCCTCCGTAAAAAAACAAAAGGCCAAGGTTTGGAGAACTTCCAGATAGCTGACATGTGGAGGTTCCTGTAGGGTGGCATGCCTGGAGAGGGCGTGGAAGCTCTGCGTCCCCCATACCTCATCTTATGTTTCTTGCTATCTGGAACCTTTGTAATATCCTGTATAATAAATCATTAAATGTTTCTTTGCATTTTGTGAGCTATTGTAGCAAATTAAAAGAACACAAAAAGGTGATCCTGGGAAACCAAGCTCGAAACTGGCTAGTCTTGCAACTGGTGTCTGAAGAGTGGCAGTCTTCTGGGAATAAGCCCCCCAAACTGTGGGATCTGATGTGAGCTCCAGGTAGACAATGTCAGAATTAAACTGAACTAGAGGCACCAGCTAGGTGTCTGCTGAAGAACTGATTGCTTGCTTGGTGTATGGGGCAAAACTTGGTAACGCAAGTCTTCTATGTTGATTATTGTTGAATGAGATAATTAAAGAGAATACTTGGAGTCTGAGTTTTCCACACACAGCATCAAAAGACTTGAAATCTCAGATCTACCACTTAGGTATGCAATTAAAAACAAACCACTTACCATTCCTAGCTGTGTTCCCATATATGTAAAAGGGGGTTATTAGTACCCTCATTTTGTGAGGATTAAGTGACACGATGTGCATGTAAACTGTACAGTTTTCTACAAAACGTAAGTTATTACTATTATGGTCAACAAATGTCTGCCATGTGTTCCCGTGTTTTACTAGATATTGCTGCTTCTACTCCTCTACTGACAAGGAGATATCTCCAAGTGACTATGAAATTTTACTGTTTGCTGTCTTCAAAACGCTTCAACACTTTGTCTTTTGGCTTCCTGTTAAGGCTGTTTTCTAGGAACAACTTAAAGACTGGTATGATTAACGTTAAACATAGGGAATGTTTCTAAAGGAAGTTTGACTTTGCTTTTAGAAGTTTTGAGTACTTCAAGCTATAGTTCTGCTAGAATCCGGGAAAGAACTGAATGTCTCCATAAAGTCTCTATAAACCTGTAGTTTATAAAAAGCAAAAAATAAAGAGATTATATTGATATTTTCCAGTCACTATACCTTTCATGAGAATAGAAAAGTTTGTGTATGTTCTAAAACACACCTTTTGATTATGTTACCTGGAATAAATCAGAAACATGCTTTATACTAGCAAATACACAGAGCACAAAAAGGATAAAGGTTTTTTCTTTACCTACACTTGCTATAAAAATCCAGTTACTTTGCAAAATACAAAATACATACATATTTTTTCAATGGAATATCAAGATACAAGTCCCCACCTCAAAAGGCACTCAATAAATTATGCACACATTTCCATGCATCCCAAACTAAATGATACTAAGACTAAACTCCAAACCAGGTACTCACAGAAATTTATAGGGAAACAATCCAATCCTGACTATACAGCATATAGATTTAATAAAAATGTAACTGGAAAAGCTAGAAAAAACTAAAGGAAAAAATTACTCCCTTGCTAAATGTTTGACAAAAATCAAAAATTGCTTTTAGATGCAGCCACTTGTAACTGCATTAAATCACTACACTTATTCTTGCTCCCTAACAACGACACTGTGCTCTATCTTTCGAGCAAGGTCTATTTATTAAAAGTATTATTCCCCCATTCCAAAGAAACTAGTGAGAAAAACTCGGCTTTAGTAGCTACAGTTTCTGACTAATGCATATTTCATAGCTACATGCCAACACGACAGTTTTGATGAGGAATCCAAAGAGAGCTCTATGTCCTAAAGCACCTGAAGCATGGTTAAAGGAGCCAATCCACCAACGAATGTAGTATGAGTTCATGGCTGCTGAAAATGATAGCCGCATTTAAAATTCTAATTCCTTTTTCCTTCTTAGCATGATTAGCAAATCCTAATTTAGCATAGTCTTGGAATTACAAACACCATACTTTTTGTTTTGGGACTTTTTGTTAAATTAGCAAAAAATAACTTATGCTTATCAATCACATTCTTAAGAACTTCAAAGTTATCTACAAATATTCTTAACTAGCCAATGACTTTTACTGACTGGCTTCTTTCTTATAGTAGCAGATGTCTTGCCTTCAAGAAGTGTGCTGTCTACCAGTTATAAGGTATAAACAGCAGTGACAGTTCACTGCTACTGCAGTAAAGAGAAAGAAACAATTACATCTATTTGGATAGATCAAGGAAGACCTCATGAAAGAGCTAAAATTAAGGATAGGTGTTGAGAGGTAAGAAGGAGTTTAAAGAAAAGCAGATACTGGTTATGAAGAGAAAATGGTGACCAAAATTATAAAGAGATGAAAATGGGCAATGTTTCTCAACCCTGGCCTTGGTCAGAAGCATTTGAGGGAGGATTTTATTAAGACAATCAGGCTCCAATACAGACTTACTAAATTAAAAGCTCCCAGATGAAGGCTAGACACTTACATTTCAAAAAAATTCCAAAGGTAATTTTGATGTGGTCGAGGACCACTGATTTAGGAGGTGTTTGGATAAAGGCCAACAGTACAACTGAAATACAGGGACCATGAAGGAGGTGAGACTGCAAAGGCTTTTACATTAGGCTTTTAGTGTGTTGAATTCCAAGCTGAGAAGTCTGCATTGATATTCTTTGGCAATGACTCTTAAGCAGGTATATAAACAATCAGTGCACTTCAGGCCACATTTTATAAAAATAAACAATATTGCTCAAAGATGAATGGGAGAAACTGGGAGCAACAGGACAAGTTAGAAGACTATGCAGTATTTCAGGGAAGGGGAAATACAGGCATAACAAGCACATCGCTAGTGGAATGGGGTTTACAAAAAAGAAATAAAAGAAAGCTTTAATTAAAAAGATAGAGTAAAAAAGTAAATACTGAAGATGATAAAGATTTTCAGCACAGGTAAGTAGAATGTTGGTGAGGCAATTAATAAAGATGGAAAACAACTGTGAAGAAACAGATTTCAGAGCATTTTGTAAATACTAGCTTTGACTATGTGTGCAGTAGAGATTTACATCTGCTAATTATTAATAGTACCCTCTTCAACCCTCCATAGTGACCCAGTTTAGATAATAAATTAACATGACCTTAGGTTTACAATATCCCTCTGGAATGTCTATAGAGGGTTACAAAGGAGGATGTGAGACCAGATCCCCAGCATCAGGAGGGAAATCACATCTAACAGGTGAGTATTAAAATTGAGAGGGCGGATGAGATAACCAACAGAAAATAAGCAGAGAGAAAAGAGATGCCAAAGAAGCACCTACCCTTTGTAGCGGGGGGAAGGGAGAGAAGAATCCAGATCGAAGAAACAGCAAAAAACAGTCAAACAAAAGCAGGGGGCGTTGCAGAGGAGGAAAAGGAATCACAGAAAGAAAATATTATGGAGTCAGGGAATTACAAGTATTTAAAAAGGAGGATGTAAAAAATGTTATCAGGGTAAAGACATAGGAGAGGTCACCACTGAATGTGAAAAATGAGGCAACCCTTGGGGATTATGAAAGCAGTATCTGCAGAGTAATGAGGGAAAAGCTTCTAGGTTGCTGACAGGATAATGGGAGAGAAAGAAAACAGAAACAATGATTAAGACTACTCTTTTAAGAAGTTAAGAGTGTGAAGGGGTCTTGGTGGGTCATGGGGATGAACAAGATAGAATAAAAGGAAGTGAACACCAGGATGGAGATATATCAACCTGAGGAAGAAGATGGGAGTACAGTGAGAGGAATCTACAATAAGGATGTGGAGTGTATTTGATAGGAGAAAAGAAAGTTGACATGCCCAGGAGGTGCAGTCCAGGCCATGACCGTGACACTAGGATGCCTGAAATAAAGACTGACTGAGAAGCTATAGTTTTACGAGAATCACTAGCAAAGAGGACAAAGTCACTGAGAGAGATGGAATGAGTTGGTATGAAGGTAAGGTTTGCAGTGCAAGCCCTAAGGAAGATGAGGAAATGTCCCAGAGATGAAGAGGATGGAGAAAATGATGGATGGGATTAGGTGTTGCAGATGTAAAATACAGACTTCAAACTAAAGGTTTTTGAATAATGGTGACAGAAGCATAGTCATATCTTTCAAGTTTGGAGAAAACATTTTTAAGACTTGCTACCTACATCTCACACCTCTCCCCTACCCTAGTTCCACCAAATATTGGTTGTTTCTAGAGATGGAGCAGATAACAGGAAAGGTCATCCTCAAAAAAAAAAAAAATCAATTAATTCAAGACTGTTGAAAGAATGCTAAGAAAAATGTAAATCACATGGGAAATTGAAACCCAAAAGAAAAAGATTGCAGTGGGCCTAGTAAAAGCAGTTAGAAAATTATCCAGAAAGGAGGTCATATTCTCAGAAAGAAAGAGACATGAAACAGGAAAGCAGAGCAGGAAGAGCATTGCACCTAGGACCCTAACAGATAATCACTTACAGATTGCTGGTCCTGGGAGGTAGGTGGAAATTCTTATTCTAAATACTATAGACATTATGGGCAGATTAAAAGAAGAACTAGAATAACCAAATTAACCTTGCTCC